TTTGCAATAATGCTAGATTTTTTCCCCTGTTCTAAAGGCTCAGACACAATGAGAGCTATGATAAGTATTAAAGACATGTAAAACTGGTCAGTAGTGGAAATACTGATCAATCTATTTTAAAGAGCTTTTCACTACAATGATTTGAATTATTTATAATTGGATTTATTCCAGGGAGCATTCTAGGAAGATTAGTAAAGTTTTGTAATAGAAGTATGATGGTTCAAAAAATGATAGAAAAAGAACAGAAAACCTAAATGGGATGAATTGGATGAATGAATGAGAGCAAAAATGTTCTTTGTGGTCATAGATGTTAGGCTCACACTTTAAACTCCAGGCTTTCTAGAATAGCTAGCTAAACAAAGAGTTGGCTTGCAATGTGCATGCAGTGTTTATTTCTTATGGAGAAAAGAAGACTTAATCACTGAATAAATTATAAGTGGACTTCTGGCTTCTGACATACCGTATCCAAATACATACAAAACTTTAGGCCTAGATGATCACTCAGGTAAGATTGTTAAGATTTAACAGGAATGGATTTGGTTTTACTTTTTCCAAAATATAGAAAAAGAAGGAAACTTATTGTAAAAGATTAATCATATACCAATAGCATAAAATATTCTGTACACTTACGCTTCTTAATCTTTTTGGTCTCAGAACTTTTTTACACTCAAAAATTATCGAGGATCTCAAAAGCCATTGTTTTATATTGATTGTATTTATAATTATCATTTTAATACAATTTAACAGCATTTTAATTTTAAAAAGTCTTCCAAACTAAGATAAAAGTTGCTGGTATAAGTGACATTGTTAGACATTTTTACAAATCTTTAAATGTCTGGCTTAATAGAAATCATACTTGGAAATCATCTGTAATATGCTGTTTTCAATAAACTTTTTCAGATAATTGTGCATATTCTTTTTGAAATGACAAAAATTATGTAAGTGGAAGTCTTTTACAGGTTAGTTGTAATGTGCAATCAGTTCATTTGAAGGAATATTTTGTACTATATAATGAAAACTGATTGGTATTATACTTTGAGTAGGTCTTTTATCTGATGATTTTATGATGTTATTCATTGATCATTTGGAAAATGTTGGCTCACTGAATAGAGCAGAACTTCCAAATGTAACATGTCATTTTATATTTGTCTTCACTAATCTCATCAGAAAATCCTTGTATTTCTAATACTTGTAAAAATCTTGTAAAAAGTTGTCAAGCTAGTAGTACTGGGTACAGGTTTTCCAATATTCTAATTTCCCTTGAAAATTAAAATTTTACAATTGACAATAAATACTATTTGTTTTCCTTGAAGTGAAAAGCACTTTGTACATATTTGAGAAAATATCTGGTAGATACCCAAATCTGAATGGCCAATCATTTGGTAACTTCTTGCGGGTAAAATGGAAGTCCATTTAAAAAGCAGTAACTTCACTTTGCAGCTCAAATAATTGCACAAATATCTCTCCTCATATTGTACATGTGCAGCAGAAGTGCTGTATGAGTTTATCCCATTTCATCACAGAATAGTACAAAGATATATGTTCAAATGTGAGAATCAAATAATATTATTTATTGCTTTAACAGGTATATTATGTGAAACTGACTCCACTTAGTCCCCCAAATTGCATGGTAGTAAAGAGTACTTACCACTAATATAATATAATAAGTTACCAGTAGTTTATCCACCATTGTTTTTGTACTATTCATGCAAGTTAACATACTTGAAAAAGACAAATAATGTCTTGATAATAACTTTGACTGCTATAGGGAAACTCTCTAGACCCCACTTTTGAGAACTTTTGCTGTTCTCAAATCTTGTGTATGAATACTGAAACAAAACATTTAAATTAACAAGTAGAAAATGTAGCATTAAACTGAAATACTGGTTTTATTAGGCTCAAGTGGTATTTCCTCCTTTGAAAGTAAGGATGAATACACATTAGGAAATCTCTTAACAGAATTTATGACATTAGTAGCCCCGGGTAGAAAATGCCCATGATAAAAATGATGAGTTTCTTAGAAAACTAGTTAATCTGAAGCACATTTTTAAAATATAAAAGCCACAAAAGTAAAAATTCATAGTAAAGAGTAAATAATGCTTTCTTAACAGGAATAAGTGTCAGTTTGTGTATATATCTGTCAATATCTTTATTATGTGTGATACTTACAGAGTTAACTAATATTGTGCACTACCATCATCATTTTATCATATTTGAGAATTGCCACATAATACAACAAATCATAATGATAAAGACAAAATCATTTTGAAAAAAATATAGACAGATTCTAATTATAAGTGAAATGATTGTAAATCTGGATAGCTTCAAAGAAACAATGGTTAGTACTTGGGAACTCAAAAATCTCAGATGGCTATCTAAAAATTTTATACATCAAAATTTGAACTTTTCCTATATGAAGTTTTTCTAATTAATTGCTTAGAAAATATGATAGGCTAAAAGCATATTAAAAGCAGAAAATAAAACCTATGAAAGGAAGTACAAATCTCATTGGAGAAATATGTAAAACTGAGGAAATGAAAGAATATTACTGGGATAGAAATATTAAGCATTGTAAAGATAGGAGCCATTTCTAAATTAATTTATAATTTCAGAGCAGAAGTTGAATCCCATATAAGGCACCATATAGTATTGACACCAGACTGGATCTTCGGATCACAATAAATTCCCTTGGGCATTTGGGAATTTAGTATATGCTTTACCATGTGATGCATTACAAGATGTCTTTAGTAAATGATACTGGGATAGCTGACTGACCACAAAAGCACATATTTTGTTAAAATGCAGCTATCAATTGCTGTTGTGACTGCTAGTTTCTAGAAAGTTCCCATCTTATCATGTCTGTTCCATTGTGTGTGGCACTACTAGTTAGAGATCTTAAGTACTCAGTTATCTTCCATAGCACATATAATAAAACAATTTAAACTTTTTAGCTAAGGTTAATAATTTTATTATAGGGCTTAATAGGCACCTGTAATTTTATAGCTCCGAAATAAAATTAATCTCCATTTTACAAGAGTAGGTTCCTAAGCAGTGCAATTTGACCAATATCACACAGACAGGATTCAATTTTGAAGTTTGTTTTCAGAGTTTGACTTCATTCATTATAGGTAGGCTAAGTGCCTCAAAACTTTGTGTTACCCCAACTCTCAGCTTCCAGCTGACCTTGAGCCTGAAATTCCACCTACATTGTTTTACTTAGTCTTTTCCCCAAATGTTTATTTTTCGATACTTCCATGACTTTGCATGTATTATTCTCTCGGTCAGTGATAATTTCTTTTATTCTCTTTCCCACCTATTTATGGTCTACTAAACTCTAGAATTATAACCAATATTCTTTGCTTCTTCCCTTAGTTAAGTTTTCAGGTTTGTTTGTGATCAAAAGTATCTTTAATTATCTCTCTTCTAGTATACATTATACTTCTACTAATAATGTACATTATTTTGTGTGGTATTAATTTATGTAATTACTTGGAGAAGTGTACAAAAACAAGAGACATAGTTTCTGAAATTATAGTAGGAGAAACATGTAAACAGTTAAAATACCAAAGCAGATGAAACTAATGTCAGTGAAACAAGTATTATGTCAAGAATGGCTATTCTAATCAGCATTTGAAGGTAGAGAAGAATTTGTTGAATAAATTGCATTTGATCTGAACCTTGAGAAGTTAAGTGAAAAGGATTCAGCTGCTTAGAATCTAGGGAGAAGAAACGTAAGCATAGACACAAAGGAGTGGTCTGTGGAGAGAGATGCATTAGGAGATGAAATAAAGCAGACAATTTAGTACCACATCATGGAGAGCCCATGCCCTGGGATTGTGACCTTCCCTAAGGGAGGAAGTTTGAGAAATTTTTGAAAATTGGGTTTAAGGCAGAAGAGAATGGGAATATATAAAAAATAAGATCTTGGACTGGGGATGTAGCTCAGTTGGTAGAATGCTGGCCTTGAATGCACAAGGCCCAGGGTTCAATCCCCAACACCAAAAAACATAAGATCTTAATATTTTAAAAACTTATAGAAATACTAAACTAAAAACCAAAAAGTACGTTTCAGTGACAAATTTTAAAGAACACAAAAAGTTTTCTCATATATATATATATATGTGTGTTTCTGAGGTAGCATTTTAAAACTCATCTAAAGAAAGTTTGGCAACTTTGGCCATCTCTTTTGTATGCATTTTTACCTGTGTTTATGTTATGTGTAGAATATTTTTTATTTTGGACTCAGAGATGGGTAGACATTTTTTTTCATATGTGGTAATTAGCTGACAGTGATTACACAACATATTTGATATATTTAAGTTAAGCATATTTAACCAATATTTCATTTACATATTATTAAATCAGTTTTTTAATGTTCACCAGCTACAGTTACTCACGTATTTGTAGGATATCTTCTGAAAATTATAATATGAATTTACTAATTGTTATCAAATTAATGAGTAGTTTCAAGATATAGATAGCAGAGAATAAAGGAGTTAAAACTTTTAAATGTCTTGTGATCAGTCAGTGGCACTACTTTAAACTGATCTTTAATATTTTAAGATTGTTATAAGTTGCAGTCTTTACTACAGTTAGCTTCCTGAGATGGTATACCACCTCAGAAATCTGTTTATGCTATTATTGTAAACAGTTTTAATTCATTTGAACAGGAAGTGCCAGGTACCCAGAAAACAGTGAGATATATGCTTAAATTATAGTCATAACATTTTTTAAGTTGGTTTTAAGAATAGGCCATGTATTTTGAAATACGAAGGTTCTCTACTTACTGGAATGCTTGAGTTGCTAGAGGCATATACTGAAAACAATTTGATTTCTTTAATTGTCCTGTGATTACTAAAATATTTAATCAGACTTTTATACATTGTATAAAAGCTTCGACTTTGGTGTACTTGAAAATCAGTTAATGTTTTGTAGAATAATTGTGGGTATAATTTTTTTCTATGTAGTTCATAGTGATGTACTTCTTTTTGTGTATTGTTTAGCCGTATATGTGGGAGCCCATGTCCTGCAGTGTGGCCTGATGTAATTAAACTACCATATTTCAACACCATGAAACCAAAGAAGCAGTATCGTCGAAAGTTAAGAGAAGAATTTGTTTTGTAAGAAGTGAATGCTTAAGCATCTATATTGCATTGAATTTGTTATTTTTTTGTGAATTCTGAATGTTACTTGATCCTCTTGATTTGTAGTAGATCTATCCAGTTCTGCTAGGCCATTTAATTTTGAAGTTTGCCTTTGGTATATGCAAATTTCCTTTTCACCACCACTGTAGAATCAGTGATTTGGATAGTATGGTTGGTGCTTATACCAAAGAATTTCATTGATATTGTTTTAAATTTTATTGATACAACTTTAAGTTACTTAAGTTTAGGTTTTCACTTTGGTTTAGAAAACTATTCTGTTTGGTTTTTACTTTGATATAATAAAATTGCCGATAGAATAATAAAATACATTGTTTTCCCCAATTAGTTATAAAAATTGTGTAATTAAATATTTCTTCAAAGGAAAATTTGAGATTTATTGGAATAAAGTATTATAAACATAAAATGCTAGCATTTAAAATAATTTGATTTTTAATTTAAAAAATTAACTAAAAATATTTTATGTTAAGCTTCTAAAGAAATACTATACTTGTGTCTACAAAACATATATGACTTTTGTAATCCTCTTATATAGTATTCCTGCAGCTGCTTTAGACTTATTTGATTACATGCTCGCCTTGGATCCTAGTAAGCGGTGCACAGCTGAGCAGGCTCTTCAGTGTGAGTTCCTACGAGATGTTGAACCCTCAAAAATGCCTCCACCAGAGTAAGTAGCTTTTTATTATATTAGATTTCACATATGTAGAATCTGGACAGTTTTAATAACATCTGTATATAATGATCAAAAAAGATTTTCCATGCCTAATTAAGTTGAAAGAGACCAAAATAAGTAAATAAAATAAAACTGCAGTACTGTGTGTAGTTTGCACATCTAGAATGCAGTTAGATGCTTGCTTAATGTTGAGCTAATCATGGGATGCGGCCTTTCTCTAGCTAATGTTGGGTTAGTTCAGCAAGATATTGTAATGTATTTCAGCTTTAAGAAAATATTGCTGCTGCTAATTCTGTCAATACTTACACTGCTAGTAATATTTATAGATAAAATTTTGAGTATTGTGCTATTTTCATGTATTATATTAATCTTTATAATCCTCTAAGGTAGGTATTATTATCCTTCTCACCATTTTACAGAGGAGGAAGCAGGCTCAAAGAGGTTAAGAAACTTGCCCAAGAATACAAATCTAGTAAAGGGTGGAGCCAGCTCTCAAAATTAAGAAAGAGAAATTCTGAAAATATTCTATAGCATCCTCCTGCACAACAGAAAATCCTTATCACTGACTAAAACAATATTAGTATCAGAAGCATATATAGAATGAGTTATTATCTGATGGAGGGGAAACTGCATTGTTTCAGAATCAGAGTAGCTGTGCTTTTGAACCTTCACATTCTCATGGCTCTTATAATATCTCTAGGATTGATTCTGAGAGAGAGAAGGGGAGAAAATGGTTCATTTACTTCTTTCTTGATAGGGTCTAGAAACTTTGTATTTTTTTTTTTTTTAAGTAATTTTTAACATGATGGGTTAAAAATAAGACTAATCTTATGTGTCTTTAAATAAAATTAACATATTTTGTATGAACAAACATGGGCTTTGGAATTCAAATCATAGCTCTTCCACTTATTAGGTTGGGCTTACTGTATTTCTGTGAAGCTGTTATATTTAGCTTCATTAGATTTTATTGAGGGTTGGGGTGGAGCACTTGCCTCCCATGTGTGAGGCACTGGGTTTGATTCTCAGCACCATATAAAAAAATAAATAAATAAAACAAATTTTAAAAAGATTTTATTGAACTATGTTTGGATAGGCTTTAGGATGATTTAAAAAAAAAAAAAGGTGAAAAGAGCCTGTCATCTGACATGGTGAGGAACTGAATCATTCACTATTACATTCACTATTAAATTGAGTTTTTCATATTTTTTTTTGCTTATCAGAATGTGTTAGTAGTCTCAAAACTTTGACTCTCCTCCCTGTCAAAGAATTTTTTTAATAACTTTTAATTTGGAAACTTTTCAACTCTACCAAAAAAACCAAAAACAAAACAAAAAACAAGAACAGTACAATGAGCATTCATATCCTTTACCTAGATTCACCAGTTGTTATTATTTGGATACATTTGCATTATCACTCTATATAAATTTTTCCCTGAACTAGTTGAATATTGTTTTGTGGAGGTGACACTTCATTTGTAAATATTATATATCTGTAAGAACTAAGACTTTTACATACTTAAAATACCATTTTAATTATAAAAACGTAAGAAATTTCACATTATAATAGCTAATAGTCCATATTTAGATTTTCCTAGTGGCCCAATAATTTTTATTGACTTTTAAAAAAAATTAAACTGATTTAGACTTCACATTGTATTTAGTTGGTGTGTCCTTAGGACTTTTATCATGTCATTCTTTGAAAAGCCCAAGCTAGCTGTTTCATAAAACATTCCACAATCTGGATTTGATTGCTTTCCCATGATTAGAATTAGTTTGATGTTTTTTCAGGGGGAGAATTCTGTCTAGCCAGCCGTGGTAATACACACCTGTAATCTCAGCATTTTGGGAAGCTGAGGGAGGAAGATCTCAAGTTTGAGGTTAGCTTCAGAAACTTAGAAAGACCATGTCTCAAAAAATAAAAAGGACTGGGCATGTGGCTCAATTGTTAAGCACCCCTGGATTCAATCCCCCACTACCCTCCAAACAATAAAGAATATTATCTGCGTGGTGATGTGTGCTTTCTCTTCTATCACATTAAGAGGAATATATTATTTTATCCCATTATTAGTTAATTCTAATTTTAATCACTTTAGTTTGTGCTCTTGAGAGAATTCTGCTAAAACTGTATAGAGGATATTTTCTGTTGATATCTAAACTTTTAAAATTAAGGGTTTAAATAGTTATGAAGGATATAATTTTTGATATATTTTAAATGTTGAGATTTTAAAGTAGAGCAGTTATATTAGTCTTTCCCTGAACTAGCAAATGTATCCAGTAGGATCTAAATATGGTAACATTCAGTGATCACTTAGAAAATGTTGCACAGTTAGACATTGTTCCTTTTTCATCTTGAAATTCCATTACTTCTGTAGGTTTTTATTATAATGTAACATGCATTACATTAATTACTCTCTCTATATATACATCCTATACGTAAGTTAAAAAAAAAAGGAAAAAAATCAGTGAAATCTAATGAAGGTGTACCTGTTGATAACGATTATTCTACAGTGAGATACAGTTCCACATTCATTCTTATTTTATTTTATTATTTATTTATTTATTTTGTTGTTGCTTGGGATCAATCCCAGGGCTTCATGGACGTGCTCTACCACTGAGCTATAGCCCCAGCCTTATTTTTTATTCTTATGAATACTCTTAATAAGTAAGTATTTGAGAGTAGAAGGAGCTGTTCATAATTATATTACCGTCTTTGAATTTCTTCCATGTTATGTATCCAAAATTTTTAATCAAGTGATTTTCAATAACTTTAAGACATCAATTTAAAGTTTTTTTCCTTCAATTTTCTTGATAGTAAAGAACTGGAAACCATGTTAACTATGAAAGGATTTCTTATCCAGTCATTTAAGTATTCAGTTTTCATTGGCTTTGTCTTTTTTTTTTTTGATACCTGGGATTGAACCCAGGGCATATAACCGCTAAGCCACATCCTCAGTCCCCTCTTTTTTTAAAATTTTGAAACAGTGTCTCACTAAGTTATTTAGGGCCTCACTAATTGTGCCTACTGTGTGAGGGGCATATTCAAGTGCTTACCTATAGCTTTGAACTTGGAATCCTTCTCCCTCAGCTTCCCCAGCTTCTGGGGTTACAGGCATGGAACCTGGCTATCCATATTTATTAAATGACTTTTTGTAATACTTGTAACTTTTTCTTATAAATTGTAATTAATGTTAAATCACCTAAATCACTTAAATTTTATCACAGCATACCTGACTGCATTTTTTCAAATTAAAAATAGGTATGTTAGTACATATTTGAGGGACATTCTGTAAACCAGTAATATGGAGTGTGTTTTATTAGATAAATTAGTAAAGCAGTCAGGTTGAAATTATAGTGGCATTGATTTAATATTTGAATAACAAAGTTATGCAAGCATAGAGCATTTTATTTTGTAATACGATGCAAGAGTAGCAAAAAATATAAATTATGAGTTAAGGACTATGAAGAAAAGCATGGGTATTCCTTTGATAAATATTTTTTTCAGAATAATCAAATGAGAGTGGAGTATTAAATAAATCAGAAAAACTCCATTAGTTGTTTTATAAGGTGAAATATGATTATCATTGGAATAAATATTTCATGATATGATCTGAAGAAAATAGTTTTAACCTCCCTTGTTGAATGATGGTCAGTTGATATCAAACATGAATATTGTGCCTACTGTGTGAGGGGCATATTCAAGTGTTTACCTATATTAACATATACTGCCTCTACCCCCATAGAGTGGGTAGTGTTGTTAATATTGTTTTTAAAGGTTAGGAAACTGAGGCACAAAGGCCAAGTTACTTGCAAGCCTGAATTTCAACCAAACTTCCTCCATTTAGTTATTTGGAAAATATTTCTGGTCTATCTAAAAGAATCAGCATTGCTAACCTTATTATTTTAGCTGTTTGTAGGGTAATGTTTATCTGACCTAGAGTCAAGTGTTGAGATAACCTTTAAAGAAACTCTGAAGTTTAAATTGTGGGAGGAAACACCCTTTTTATGGATTACTTTGCTCTGCTCTTATGAGATTCTCCTGTAAGAGCACTGCATTTCTTGACCATCACGATGTAAGAGGGGGATATCACTTCATTTACCCACTCTGTAGAACTGTAATATATCTGAATTCAGAGTATCCCAGTAGAGGCTAAGGCTTACATTCCACACACACACATACACACACACAGAGAGAGAGAGAGAGAGAGAGAGAAAGAGAAAGGAAAGTCTTTGGAGGATTTGTGATACCTTAAAGCTTCATACCAATATTTCAAATTGTACCTTTGTTTGTTACTCCAGGAGGTTTTTACACGCTGAGGCAATGCACCATAGTAAGATGGCTGAGAGGTATGCCTTTGTTTTGTTTTCAGACCTCAGGTGCATAGACTTGGTTTAATCATAATCCTTGTGTCACTCATCATTGGTCCATGCATGGCTCTCTTTTATTTTTTAATTAGTTATTTTAAATAATGTTAATAAGCAGCCATGAACCTACCAAACAAAACCTAGAACTTTGAAAATAACCTTATTTTAATCATATCATAACCCTTCTTCCCACTTATCCCCTTGCCTTCCTCCACCTGAGGTAACCACCATCCCTGGTTTTTTTTGTTGTTGTTGTTTGTTTGTTTGTTTTTTTGGTATATACTTTTTGTTGCCATCTGTATGTACTCATAAATTATATTTTAAAATTTTAGTTTTTTAATTTTATAAAAGGTGTCATGCTATCTGTAATCTTTTGGAAATGACCTTTTTTTACTAATATTTTATTATATTGCTAAGATTCAACCACAGTGTTACATATGCCTTTATTTTATAACACAAGTAATTGCAAAAGAGGAGGTGTGAAAGAATTTGCTTGAACATGCAGGCAACTTTCAAAGTTCAGTCTTAGGAAAAAAGACATATGGATATGGAAATTCCCTTAAAACAATTTCAGGTGTAGCCCTTTGGAAAGGCTTCATGTGCTCCTCGAGGTAAAACATCCAGGTTGAGGACTTGCAGGTATATATCACCAGGTAGGGTTGCTTAAAGAAATTTATAGATATTCTGGGCAAGTTTACTAACCTTTCCAAGCCTCAATTTTCTTATCTTTAAAATAAATAAAATAGTAATGTTTGCACAGGATTTTTTGTTAGGGTAATAAGAAACATTTATAAATCACATATTTATGTCTTTCTTTAAGCAAAATTATTCTGTAGTGGTAATACTTTTTATGAAATTACATTCAGGTCATCATTTCAGAATTGTGGGTGATTTTGATAGTTAACTAGTTATTCAGAACTCTGTTGATGAGTGATGACCTTCTCAGTGCCTGAAGTACCTGTTTTTAAAATTCATCTGTAGCATCAAGATAATTTCAGAGCATTTTATTATCAAGAAATAAAAGCTTTTCCTAGGAAGTTTTCCCACAAATGTCATATTCTAGCCTGTATTTTTTTTTTATCTTGTATCTAGTTTCTGCAAATCGCATGTTTCTGCCTCCTTCATGTCCTATTCAGTGTAAGATGTATATGATAAGAATTGCCTATAAAAATGTTGCACCAAGGATAATGTTAGCCTACTTTTATGAATATATATTCTTCATTCAAAATTTTTATAAGTGATTATTTATTGATTATTTAGAAGACAAAAATTGTTCATCAATAAAGGTAAAGCCCTGAAGGACATGGGGCAAAGATGATTTTTATTGGAGGAGTTTTACTAAGTCTACATATGAAGTCTTCAAGAATGATTTGGGGGCTTGGGATATAGCTTTGGTGCTACATAGTAATGTTAGCATATTTTTTTATTAAGAAATACCATTCATGGGCTGGGGTTGTGGCTCGGTGATAGAGTGCTTGCCTGGCATGTGTGAGGCACTGGGTTCGATTCTCAGCACCACATATAAATAAATAAAAGATCCATTGACAACTTAAAAAAAAAAAAGAAATACTATTCACAATTTAATACTCATATATATTTTCAGCCTTCCTTTATGGCAAGATTGTCATGAGTTATGGAGTAAAAAGCGAAGAAGACAGAAGCAGATGGGCATGACTGATGATGTTTCCACAATTAAAGCCCCCAGAAAGGACTTGTCTTTGGGCTTAGATGACAGCAGAACCAACACACCCCAGGGTGTGTTGCCATCTACACAACTGAAATCTCAGGGCAACTCAAATGTAGCACCTGGTCAGTAATATTTTACATGGGTTGATTTTCTTCACATTGTTTTATGGCTAATGTTGATTATATTACTCTGCTGTCAAAGCATCTGGATGAAAATTAAGGTTTATTCATGGAACTTGATGTCTCCTTATTGTTTGTGCCAGTATAGAAGTTTCATTGCTTCTTGGCAACCACAATTTTTAGCAATCTCAAGGTAAGATAATTTCTAAAGAAATATCAACTTACTTATGATTGGTGGTTGGTCAGATTTCTCTTTTTCCCTAGTGCAGGACTCAGTACATCTTTTACTAACACTATTCTCCGGGAAGCTCAGCGCTCAATGTCTGTGGATACTTACGGAATAGGAAGAAGAAGATAGGAAAGACAGCCAAAAATCATAATGAGAACTCTTTCATGCCATTTATAATGTCCTCAGGTCACTCAATGATATGTATTTGTTACATCATAGAAATTCAGATATTTGTGCCAGAAATAAAATGATAAAGGAAGATATTTTATATCCACTTATTTTGGTAAAAATTTAGATTTCTTCCTCTGACTCAGTCTGTCATAGAAGTAACCTTCTTCATGGAAAGTTAGCTATTTCAGTGTTCTCAGAAGTGGTGTTAAAATCACCTCATTTAGTGAATAACCTGTAAAAATGAAACATACTTTCTCATTTGTTTCAAGAATCCAGAAACATTCAGCTTCAGTTTAATTGTTTTTAACAAAGACAAAGTTGATATAAAATAAGTGTGTGTGTGTGTGTGTGTGTGTGTTTGTGTGTGTAAGTAGTGATTTGTTAAACCTGAAAAAAATAGACCAGCACTTATTGAGATGAGTAATTAGTTAATTAAAAAAGATCTATGGATCATATTGAACTTTTGAACTTTTGGTGGTTGAGTATAAATATAGAGGAGATTAGTTGAGAAAGCTTGAGAAAGATTACCATTAATGCTTGCCCATATAATCTACAAGCTTAACCTTGTCCTTGGTTAAACCACACATATAAAGTACCTGAGACTTTAAAAACCAAAGCAATGGTTATTTGTTGTTCAGACATATTCCTTCTTGAAATAGTGAAGTTTCCTTACACATGAGAATATTTGATATATATATAACTTTAGGAGACACATCTGTTTTATACAGTGAGGGTTAATCTATATCAAGTTCAGTATTATTTTGCTTTTTTAAAAAATATGTAAAATATGAAGAAAGGCAAAAGAGAACAGTAATTGTTCCTATTAATATATGTTATATGTTTTATATACTGTATTACTCTAAGAGGATTTGAGAATGGAAATAAAGAAGTTTAAAGGGTGTAGTCTATTATCTCAGGTAATAGTTGTCTTATTTTCATGACTGTCAGGAGGAGAGTAGGAGCACACCTAGAAGAATAGAGGGTAGTTTACTTTAGCTGGTAAAAAATGAACTGCCTTCTGAGCTTATTTTATACTTATCTCTGAATTATTTTACAACTCTAATTATGGTGGAGAGTTTTAATATTTTTCTTTTACTTTTTTGATAGTTTTAAAAACACATTTATATTAAAAAGTGAGAATTTGGGGCTGGGGTAGTTCAGTGGTTGAGTGCTTGCCTCGCATACATGAGGCACTGGGTTTGATCCTCAACCCCACATAACTAAATAAATAAAACAAAGATAAAAATATTTAAAAAGCAAGAATTTTCTTTCTGCTTCATTTCCTTTATCATCAGTGGATTGAAATAAGAAAATGCTTCTATTCCAAAAGAGACACTTCTGTGAGAGAGTGTTTCCCTGAGTTCACATGGAGATTATTTATGCTAATAAGAAAAATAAAAAGGTGTCTGGGGCTGTGGCTCAGTGGTAGCTCACTTGCCTGGCATGTGTGAGGCACTGGGTTCAATTATCAGTGCCACATGTAAATAAATAAAATAAAGATCTATCAACAACTTACAAAAAAAGAAAAAGAGGAAAACTGGCCCTTGGGGTATAGCAAACTAACATGGTTCTTTATGAATGCTTGCGGATCATAAGAAGAATTTGCTCAAGTTTGTTTTGAATTAACCTAAATATAATACTAAGAAGTAATAAAAAGTATCTCAAAATATATGTGATATAAAAAGAGTAATATGAATGGCATTAATCATCAGCCTTTCATCTTCTTAGAGTTTCTTGTCTATGAGTCTGACATCTGTGGTAATGGAAATTGCTTATCAGTATCATCTGACCACCATGTATAGTATAATATGCATTTGAGCCTTGTTGTTAAATGTGATTCACATAAGCTTGCACAAGAACCTATGTCAACCATCTGAAATCTAAACTGAAAATTGGAAAGAACAATTGAATCTGTTACTGGTGATGAGTTAATGCTGTCATACATGCATATAATAAGCATGTTTCTGAAAGCATTCCTAACTTATTGAAAGTAAAAACAGATTTTTTTTCAGAGTTGGTAATACATCCTAATTTGAATTTACTTCAAAGATAAGGTTAGATTCTTGAGTAATAAACTTTATTTTAGAGAAGAAATAGGTGTATTAGTTTAAGAGCTCAGATTCTGGAATCAGAGAGAGTTGAGATATAATTTCTGCAGCTTATAAATTCTGTGACCTTAGGCACTAAGTTACATAGTCTGTTTAGGTCAGTTTCTTTTTCAGTAAAATGAGGCTAATATGAGAGCCTGCCTTGTAAGGTGATTGTGAAGAATAAAGGATTTAAAATGCTAAGAAAGTACCTGACACTCTGTTAGCTATCATCATTATTCATTTTCCATTCACAAAGTGATATTTCCTGGTTAAATCTTTAGAGTGGGATTCTATTGATAGTTTTGATTTTTCTTTTGAAGTATTTACTTCTTTTGAAGTATTTACTCTTAAAGATTACTTATTGAAAATTGACTGCAGTTCTCTTTTGTTCTAATTTATGTTCCAGTTACATGTCATGATAGGGAACTAGATTGAGGTGCCCTTTTCACAGTGTTTCTGAAGTACTCTCCCTTAAATGTATATTTTAATATGGTAACATGGAACCATTTGGAGGGTGGGAGGAGCTGTGGATTATGGCAGTTCTAATTAATACAAATTTTGTCTTTAGTAATAACAGGCCCTGGACAGCAGTTAAACCACAGTGAATTGGCAATTCTACTAAACCTACTACAGTCTAAAACAAGTGTTAATATGGCTGATTTTGTCCAAGTATTGAACATTAAGGTAAACTCTGAGACTCAACAGCAGCTAAATAAAATAAACCTTCCTGCTGGAATTTTGGCAACAGGTGAAAAACAGACAGATCCATCAACACCACAGCAGGAGCCTTCGAAACCATTGGGAGGAATTCAGCCTTCTCAGACCGTCCAGCCTAAAGTGGAGACTGATGCTGCCCAGGCGGCTGTGCAGAGTGCATTTGCAGTTCTGTTGACTCAGTTAATAAAGGCTCAACAGTCAAAACAGAAAGATGTGCTACTAGAAGAACGGGAAAATGGATCAGGACATGAAGCATCATTACAACTCAGGCCACCTCCAGAACCTAGCACACCGGTATCGGGTGAGTGTATAGATACCTGACTACTTACTAACACAGCTGTATTCATATTGTTTTCTCGATGTTGTTGGTTTGCTATAATGCAGATTGTTAAGTGACATTGCTAAGAGATGGTCTGAAAATTCTGGGTCACTGGTGATAGGTTGGTTTCCTAGTTTGTTTATTCCCAAGAAGAGATTCTTTAACAAAGTATCCAGGTGTGACATAATTCATTATGAATGCTATAGACTTTTGTAAGGTCAGCCTAAGGTTAAAAGATAATCTCTTGTTCCAAATACAAAAGAATGTTTGATCAAGGCATAAACTTTATTCATACTATTATCCTGTACTTAAATGACAATAGGCAACATTACTTGTAAACTTGTAAACTTTTCTCCTTTTCATTCAGTGTTTTTCCTGAGACAGAACATCTAATCATCTTTAGGACCACCCATAGGAAACATCTATTTTGAATATTCAGTTGTCTAGCTTTTGACTCTCTTTTTGTTTTGTTTCACTTAGGGCAAGATGACCTCATTCAGCACCAAGATAGGAGGATTTTGGAGTTAACGCCAGAACCAGACCGGCCTCGGATTCTGCCTCCTGATCAACGTCCTCCTGAGCCTCCCGAACCACCACCAGTCACTGAGGAAGATCTGGATTATCGGACAGAAAACCAGCATGTACCTACCACTAGTTCCTCATTAACTGACCCTCATGCTGGAGTGAAAGCAGCCCTGTTACAGCTGCTTGCTCAGCACCAGCCCCAGGATGATCCCAAAAGAGAAGGTGGTATTGATTATCCAGCAGCAGACACTTATGTGCCCACTTCAGACTACAAGGACAGCTTTGGATCCTCTTCTTTCTCTTCTGCTCCTTATGTTAGCAACGATGGTCTTGGAAGTAGTTCTGCTCCACCATTGGAACGACGTAGCTTCGTTGGAAACTCAGATATTCAGTCTTTGGATAACTACAGTACTGCTTCATCTCATTCTGGTGGTCCACCTCAGCCTTCTGCCTTTTCTGAGTCATTTCCCAGTTCAGTAGCTGGATATGGAGACATTTACCTCAATGCTGGTCCCATGTTATTTAGTGGAGACAAGGACCATAGATTTGAATATAGCCATGGTCCTATTGCAGTCCTGGCAAATAGCAGTGACCCTTCCACAGGGTCAGAGAGTACTCATCCTTTGCCAGCAAAGATGCACAACTATAACTATGGTGGTAATTTACAGGAAAATCCAGGAGGCCCCAGCCTCATGCATGGACAGACCTGGACCTCTCCTGCCCAAGGGCCTGGATATTCACAAGGATACAGAGGACACATTAGCACATCAGCTGGCAGAGGTCGAGGGAGAGGGTTACCATTTTGAGTATCTGTTTTTCCTCAGGCACATCATTTTTATCTGGAAAGACTTTTCTAGCTGCAATTTAAGGCAGCAGTCCAAGAGACTTGAATAATATTAATTCAACAACAGCTTTATTTTTATGTGGAAAAGGGTCTTGCATACAATAGTTTAAAAAAAAAAGAAAAAAAACTTTGCTTAAATTCATGCTGTTCTTAAAACTAGATCTATTGATTGTACATCTTCACAATTCTAGTTAACAATTTTATTTTGTATTCTTGCAGTTTTAAGTGGATGCTAATCTTAGGGACATAAGCCTTTTATGACCCTCTTGCAGATCTTCTGAACTATGCACATTTGTGCTTTTTTTGTAAGTTTGGACCAACTTTTATGTAACAAACAACCCCTTCCTGCCCCCCTCCAGTTTTACAACAATCAGAAAGGGCACTGATTTATTTGGTATTTTTCTTTTTACAAAGCTACCTTTAGTCAAAGGTCACTGTCAGTCCTTGCACCTGCTTTCAGTGTTATTGTGAAAGGTGTACTTTGTGCTCATTTCAGAAAATAAAACACAACCTTTCTCTTGATGCAACAGTTTTATAAAAGAAAATGGTCAACGTTATTTTTGTTTGTTTTGCAGATTATCATAGCCTAGCAAAATGCATTCAAATGAAATAGTGGGTTTTATATGAAAAATATGGGGTGGGGAGGGTTAAGTAAGTGCCTTAACTGGTGAGCTTAAGGTCTGAAAAGGTAGTTAACCTTTACACCCATTTGTCTTTTAAAGGGAATCAATGCATTGTACTGAACAGGCAGCAAGCTCTCAAGTTTTGGGTGGCTGCCTATTCAGTCCCTGTGAGGTCCATTCCCTCTGCCTGTCACACTTCATTTTCTGCCTATCTTTGGGCCATGTTATCTTTCACTACCACCTTCTCTTGGTAGGGGAGTGAGAGCAAAGAAAGGGAATAGACCTGCTGTCAGTACCTTTTGTTACTTCTGAGAAGTTCTAAAAAGTTTTGTTATTTAAATGGTTGAAGGTAACAGCTAAATGAGAATTTTAAGATACCGTTTTCTTTCAGGCTGCCATATTGTCCCTATTTTCATTTGGAGTTTAGAAGCAAGAATTAATAACACAATTTGCTTAAATGTATTAAAATGTTCATGGGAGGAGGGGTGGCAAACACCATATTTTTTAAGTTATGCAGTTGCCATTTTAAGAAAAAGTCAACTCGTTAACTAGAAATATTGCCTAGATTGAATTTATTGAAGCAAAAAGAAATAGAGAAGACCTCTTATCTTCCTTCCTCTCACCTTCTATAAAGTTTATTATGACTTCTGCCAGACATACAAAATCTTAGTTCATTTTAACATTTTTTTTCTTTTATTGAAAGTAACAAAGAAAGATGGAATAATTGTTATTTAAACCGTAATGTTTTGGGGTCTCTCGTTTTGTGCATGTGTGTGCGCATTCACGCGCGCAAGCACACGCTTATAATAATTTTGGAAAGGAACCAAAGGTAACTAACAAGTGTTTCCATCATCATTAAATGGAAAAACAGACTCTGGAAATCAAAAGTTGTGCCAATTAACCATTTTGTTTTAATTGTTTAATCTTTTGATTGGAGTCTTAAATTGGAACAACTGTTACAGAATGAAAAAATGCTCCAGTTCTAAAGCCAGTTAACCCTGTGCTCTCTGACTTGTGAACCTGCATTTCAAAACAGGATGTGGGAAACATAGTTTGGTAACAGTAAGCATATTTTAAAGAAGCTAATTTACATTTTACTATTATAAAATGAATTGATGTCAGTTGACCATTTTATTTTTTGTTGTTTTGGGAGAAAAAAATGAAAGAAAAATTATTTTGCTTTTATTTGAATATTGGAGTACTAACAACTTATAATAAAACTACATTACAGGAAGTGAAGAAATATTTTGAAATTTAGCAAAATAGCTACAGTATTCAAGTCTCTGAAATTTTAATATGGTGAGTCTTAGAGCTTTAGACTTTCCTATAAGTGACAGTATCTAAGTTATTCTTAATAGTCACACTTAATAATTCTGCTGGCCATAAGCAGCTAACCTAAAATTGAAGATATTTATGTGACATGAATAGCCTGTGTTTTAAAAATTAAATATTTTATATAAAAGTGAACTGTGTTTGGATAGTTTTTCATAGTTTTTCTAATTAAGCATTTCAGTTACTTACTTATCCTGGGAGAGTGGCTGGGAGGACAGAGATATTGTTGGCTTTGAAATGGAAATTTTGAACTACACTTTCTAACATTATTCTAAGACAGCATTGCTTATGAGACACACCAATATCTTATGTGCCACTTAGAAGAAAACACAACACTGAGATGCCATGAAGTGTAAAATAATCAATCCCAGATGTAAGATTGTTATTATATGAAACAATGTGTCATATAATTGATGAAATATAATAGTAAAAAACCCTAATGCCAGCCCTTCATAACATTTATACCTCAATTCAGTGAATTTGGATTAATAAATAGATCATGGTTGGGAATATACCGATTCTTTAGGTTATTTCTCCTGCAGTAATCAATGAGCATTGCATAAAATCTAAGGAATTTAAAATATTGCTTAAGTGTTTTGGGAAGAAGCAGGTAAGTGAGATTGTAAGTAATTTAAAAATAGGATGTGACCTAGGAAAAGAAGAAAATGTCTTTTTTTCATACAAAATTCCCTAGGTATTTCTTGGCATGGCAGATTTTTTTTCTGCAGGCAACTCAGTGTGTAGTCCAGGTCTTCAATTCATCTGTTGGAGACTTGAAATTTTAAGTTACTTTATGTAAGGCTAAGTTTATTGATTAGAATAAATTGTGGAATGTGATTTACGATAATACATTAGCTATGATTCAGTGTTTTATTCTGTCAACAAAATATACTTGGTTCCTGTCATGTGCTACCAAGTTAAATCATATTTCTAGTAGGCTGCCAGTACCATTTAAAAAAATGTCTGGAGAAGCTAGTGGTATTTGTTACTCCCAGTTATATCCAAATTGTACCTAAGTGAGTATAAGAAATGGAATTTTGAGTTATCTTTGTAAAATTTCAACTCGAAATTTGAATAGAGAAAGTCTGGTATGGAAAAGTCTCTGAACAGATTTTAAGTTGAGTCTGGCCAATTCATGATGGCCCAATTTGTAGGAAATATCAAGATTTCTTGAGAAAAATTAAAAGGGAATAGGTTAAATATTTCCAAACCAAAATGCTTACTACTTCTAAGTTAAGGTTTTGATTTATTTGCTATGAGTGTAATCTAATACTGATTGGTTACTTACCCCCTAGGTTTGTTGTTTTAAATAAAGCTGAAATATAAGTTTTGATTATATATCTACTAATTTTCAAGGCTACTGTTTTTGATACTTTAAAAATATGAACAGCTTTTACCAGTAACCAAAAATTATATGGTAATTCTCCAGCTAAGCAAAATGAGGCTGAGAGAGTTTTCCAGGACCTTTTTCTGACAACTGGGGTGACAGAGCTTGTTCCTCTAAGCCACATCTACATTATTTCTTTTAATTCAGAAAAAATTAGGAAAATATCAATTTTGGAAAACTTAATTAGAAACCTGTATACGTGGACTGTATATATATAGACAGTCTTCAAAAGAAGAGGTTCTGTGCTTCTATTTATATATTAAAAAAAAGACTATACTTGTGTACCTAATTAGGTACATAATTACCTAATACTTATGTACCTAATCAAAGATTAAGTACTTATGTACTTAATCTTTGATTAAGGGTGTTTTGTATTTATAGATGGAAGATTGTTGTCAGCAAGCTTGCAAACATATCTTTTTAAATCCTTTGATGGTTTTATAATTTCAAGTGACTTTATAAGGGGAATAATAAGGGCTTGTCATTTACCAAAGACATTTTCCATATTCCTGACATGACGGGGTTTGGCGGGTGGGGTGTGGTCTTTGTTTTGGGGGTACTGGGGATTGAACCTAGAAGGCACTCTACCACGAGCCCTTTTTATTTTTATTTTGAGACAAGAGACTTGCCAAGTTTCTGAGGCTGGCCTCAAACTTGTAGTCTTTCTGTCTCAGTCTCCTGAGTTGCTGGGATTACAGGCCTCCACCACCACACCTGGATTCCAGTTAACTGTCTTAAATTGTTTCTAGTTTTTACTACTAATAAAAGCTGTTTATAGGCTGGGGACATAACTAAGTGGTGGAGTGCTTGCCTGGCATTCTTGTGGCCCTGGGTTTGAACTCCAGAACCACCAAAAAAAAAAAAGTATAATTAATAAGCTGTCAGTCATGAAATCTAATTGAAAATGTGGAAACCAAAACTTTGATCATAATGGAAAAAACTTCTTTAAATTGTAGAGAGTAACAAATTTAGTGGGTTTTAACTTCTTTCACCATAGAACAAGAATTTTCCAATTGTATTCAAATGAGACTGTAGTGATTATAGAGTATTACCCTTTAAAATTTTCCCCAATTTTAAGTTAATTGTTGTAAAGGTATTGTATTCTTTTACAAGAACTTTTAGTAAAGTCTTGTAACTTAAGTCTACTGTATTAATATAAGCCATTTGTTATTTTTTGGAAAAAAAATTATTTGATAGTCTATAAATTGCTTAAGAATTTCATCCACCCCTCCCCCACCGTTTTAGTCTTATTTTCTCTTTACTTATATCCAGAACATAATCTTAAAATAATCTTTTATGGTAATGATGATCAATAATCTTTTATGGTAATGATGATCACTTGTAATCCACTGAGCCATGTTTTGTTTGTTTGGGGTTTTTTGACAAAGCTAAAAGCCTGAAACAATTCTCTCTCATCCCTGTGTATATATGTATGTATTAAAAAATAGAAACAAAACGCAGAGATAACCATTAATATTTTCCCTTTGATGGATGTACATAAATACATGTTTATTCCCCCCTTGGACTAATGGGACTATACTGCTCATAACTTTGTAATTTGATTTTTTTAATTTATAATATATTGTGGACATCTTTCTATGTCAGCCAATTAAACTACCTATCTTCTTTTTAATGGTTATAAGTTATTCCTTTATGGAACTATAACTTAGCAATTACTTATTCCCATACAAAACTTTTATGTTACAAATAATGTGAAAGTACACATATTCAAGCATTCATAATTTCCTCAGAGTAGCTATGTTATAGCACTTAAAAAAAATGTTTGCTTAGGTTTAATCTGATCTCAGGAAAAGCTTAACAGCTTTATATTCTTATTCCTTCTCATTCAGTAATGGTTACCTACATTGGGTATTCAAAATTTAGATCTTTTTTAGTTTGATGATGAATCATCTTGTTAAATCTGTATTTCTTTGAATATTAGTGAGATTCGCTATTTCACTTGATATCTGGGTCTTTGTTATTAACCATTCATATGTTTAATTATTAGCTTTTCTCTCTATTGTTCTGAAGATCTCTATAAGAGCCCTTATGAATTATATACCTAAAAGCCTGGTTGTTATTGGAAAATTTTTTTTATATTTAATGTAGTGAGGTCCATTAATCTTATGGTTGGTCTTTGAAAAAAGCTTTCCTAAGATTAGTTAAATATTTTTTAAAATATTATTTTTTAGTTGTAGTTTGA